CGAAATTTAATTTAGTGGCTCTGTATACAATTGTTGTTGCTTAGTGTAGTGCTCTCTTGTTCCCCATACTTAGAAATCCACAAGCATAGATTTCCCCACAAAATATTGAAATAATATTTCAGCATAAAACTACTCCCTAACACTGTGACAAAAACCCCCAAAGTAACAATCACAGAAACTATTTGCAGCTTCCTTTAAACATCAACATTGCAATACATTCTCAATACTTCACCATAAAATTAAAAACTACAAAAAAATAATTGGTTACTTGTCTCCCACTCCTCCTAACATCACAAAAACGAAATTTTTACAAATTCTTCCTCTAGATTTGGGTACTCAAATGAAAACGCAACGCAAAGATTAATCTCGATTTTTAAACCGATTTATGATGATTGCGGATAATTGGTTGTGCACAAAACGAACCGAAATAGAAAAAGAGGATATCAACGTTCTTTAGGAATTTAATTCGAAAAAAAACTAAGAAATCGACAACAACAACAAAATTTATAGTTTAGGCATTTTGTAAAAAAAATTAATTTAAAAAAAATACAAAAAGAAATGCAAGGTTCAAATCAAATCATTTCAAGGTTTGGTATAACCCTACTTTGAAGTTATGGTTTGAATTGGGCCTTAAATTTTTTTTTTAACCTAGAAATTTTATATATACAATTATTTTTTTGGGTAATAAGTTTTAATATATATTTTTTGGTCTATAAATAATTTTCTTTTTATATAAATATTTATATAAATATTTTTACAAATAATAAAAAAAAGTATTTGTATTTGTGTACTATAACTCAATATATATATATAATTTTTTTTTATAATTCCTTCTACTTTTTCTTAACATATATATTCAATCAAAAAATATATAACCATTTTTCAATAAGAAAAATAATTGTGTGGAAAGACAATGCTTAATGTTTCCTATATCCTTAAAAAAATATATATAATGGATTTTTTCTATTAACTTTAATGTAAAATACAACTAATAATCACATTTTGTTTCCTTTTTATATATACTCTTAATGTAGTATAAATAAATCTATATACAATTTTTGTAAAGTTATTTGATTGTGTAACAAATGATCCAAGCCGTATGTAGTTATATTCTACTTATGGTAACTTGTGACGTATGAGTTCGATTAATACACATACGCACCAAAGTACTTTTTGAACTGGAGTGTAACATTATATGATGACCAAATAAATTTAAAATGCAAACTAAGAGTTGTACATTCCGAATAGTCGATAGATGTAGATGTAGACAATATGATCGTAGTTCATAGTCTACATACAAAGTTCAAAAAAAATCGATCAGAAATATAAACATGTAAAAGCGTCTTCAAAGTTTTTATAACCTACACCATGACTTTTTAATTTAATCTTTTTGAAAAAGATCTACACTTTGTATCGAGACTACGAGACTATTGTAAATTGCCTATTTGTAGACTGTTTATATTCTAAGAAAATCAAATAACAAATTACAGATATTCGGGTTTAATAACTGACGATCATAAATCTACGATGTACATTTTATGAGAAGAAGCATTATATTTCCCAAAAATCGGGTTAAAACCTTGAAAATAGTCGAATATAGGAGCATTTGAGCCACTTTTCCTGCACAACTACCCTTGTACGTCAACTTGTTGTGGCGCTAGGTCCAAGTTTAGGAAAAATGTGGGGACATTAATATCTACCATAATTTTGATTGAGATTGGTGGCCAACGTAATTCGCGTTGATGCAAATAACTTGGTCTTCTCGCCATTTACTGCCAGACCCACTTTGGCAGACACCTTCTCAATTTGTTCAAAGTGAGTTGTTACCGCTCGCAATGGTCCACCAATTATGTCGATGTCATTGGTGTAGGCTAGGCTGCCAATTCCGTTCACATTTGCCCACGTATGACCTTTCCAGCAGGATGTTAAAAAGATCACACGAAAAAATGTATGAATCCCCGTTCGGTATTAAACGGATTCGATAGTTCCTTTCCGACTTCTACTGCTGACCTTGTGCCACTTAAAGTTATCCTGTATAGCCGTATTAATTTTGCAGGAATTCCGAACGCAGACACGGTTTTAAACACCTCTGGACGGATAGGGCTATTGAATGCGGCGTTATAATCGACGAATAGGTGGAATGTGTCGATGTGTTTTTCGTGGGTCTTTTTCAGGATTTGGCGCAGAGTGAAAATCTGGTCTATATTGGATTTTCACAGGTCTGAAGCCGCATTGGTATGGTCCAATAACATCATTGACAATTGGCTTCAGTCGTTCACACAGTTCGTTGGATAGAATTTTATATGCGACGGGAAGGAGAATAATTCCTCTATAGTTGGCACATATGGTCTTGTTTACATTTTTGTGCACGGAACACAGGATGCTGAGGTTTCAATCATTGGGCTTGTATTCCCCTAGCCAAATTGTACTAATCAGCTGGAGCATGATCCTGACCAGCATCTGAACACCAGTCTTGAATAGTTCGACTGATAACCCATCGGCACCTGCTGCTTTATTATTCTTCAATCTATGGATTGCTATTCTGATCTCATCTCGGCTAGGTGGTACATCTCTTATTGGTTCTGGGGTATCTTCTTCACTGCCACTATTTGATACCAGAAGCTTTTCGAAATGCTCCTTCCAGATCCTCAACACGCTATGTGTATCTGTCACCAGGTTTGCATCTTCATCTCTACAGGAGACTGTACCTGCACCAAAGCCCTTTCTCCTCTCTCCTTCCCCCCGATAATTCTCTCTCGCATTAGGTGTTACTACAGTGTACAGGGTTGCCCTATACGCTGCGTTTTTCACATCAGTAGCGTTACGACACTCGTGATCGTACCATGGGTTTCTTGATGGTGGTTTTTGGTACCCAAGTATTTATTTTGCTTCAGCACGTAGGGAGTGCGCAATTCTTTGCATTGTGCTTCTATGTTATTATCGGGACAAGGAGTAATTTAGTCAAGCATGTGGGTAACTTGAGCGGAGTGGGCTTCTGCTACCTATTGTGTTTGCAGCTTTCCAACGTCGAGTTTCAGATCGCACCGGGAGAAATCCGTTTGGCCTTGTGTATATCGAGATGCTTGAATATGGTGCTGCTAACTTCCAAGTTTTTTGCTGCCACGAAGTCAATCAACCTAATTCCGTTGTCGATTGTTTCTTCATAGAGGCTGAATTTCCGACGGTGGGGCCAAAAATATTTTCCCTTCAGATTTTTGCATAAAAAATCTCCTAACAGAATTTTAATGTCATGGCCAGGGCAGCTGTCATATACAGTTTCTAGGCGCTCGTAAAAACTATCTTTGGTCTGTTCAAATTTATCTTTGGTCGGAGCATGGACGGACATGAGACTGATGTAGAAGAACTTCGCTTTTATACGGATTATAGTTATTCGCTCATCTACTGAAGTGAATCTGGTGACGAGGACTTTTATTTCCTGTTAACCATAAATCCACAGCCAAATTCATATCTCGTTTCATGGCAACTATAATACAGGGCGTAAGCAGCTGATTTGTACATGACTGTCCCTTTCCATCGCATGCCGATAAAGCCCATCTTCAAACGTGTCCTGCCTGCAAACAAAATTGCAACTCAATGCGAAAATTTGTCTAACGTGTTTACGTGACAGACAGACGTCGTAGAATTTTACGCTGATCCTACATAATATAATACGGAATGGCAACTTTTTCAATCGTGGTTCCAAGCGTACGAATCCCTACTGAAACATCCCAAAGAAGCTTTTTTAGGAAAATGTGTCTCAATTTGGAAGTACAATCCAGCAAATATCAATATTGTAGGTTGGGAAAAAGGAATCCATTATTTGTATATGAACTATAGGACTTTATTTAACATGCTTCGCAATGTCCGATTTGGGCCAAATATGCACCGTTTTGTTGTATGATTTGTTGCCATTTTAAAGATAACTTCATAATGCCTCTCCCATAGAAGTACTGCTCTCTATTTGCAAAAAAACTCTAGTAGTCGATTTTCACAATTCTCCCTAGATTTGGCGGATGCATTAAAACTTCCCAACCAAGCTCCCGAAGTTTCTGGCGAGTCACTGTAGATGTGTGTGTTCTAGCGTTATCTTGATGGAACACGACACCTCACCTGTTGGCCAATTCTGGTCAATTGCTATCTTCAAACGGTCCTGTTGTTGACAGTAGAGATCGGTATTTAGCGTTTTGCCATATGGAAGCCATTCATAATAAGTAATCCCCTTCCAGTCCCACACAGCAGAACCTTCCTGGTCGTTAGTCCTGGTTTGGGCAACGTTTGAGGTGCTTCGCCGCTCTTTTTCCGCTTTCCGCACAGAGTGATCCATTTCCCTTCCTTCCTTTAAACATCTGTTTAATCTCATTCCGTTTGGCCAAGGCGTCGCAGATGGAAATTCGATCCATCCCAAACATCGGGCCTTTTTTTATCCAGCTTTATGTAAATGGTTTAAAAATGTTTATGGTCGGTTTATAGATCCTGGGCGATGTTACAACTGCTAATATACCGGTCAAATTCGATAATTTCTCCGATTTTATCGACATTTTCGACGACCGGCCTAATGAATTTCTTTTTCCCCAACCCAATGTATCAAATTCTTTGTTTTTATAGAGAACCGATAATCTAGAGTACGGATGTCCTTACGACCAAAGCCGAATGCTTCATTTTTTATTTCTCCTTTTTTCCGTAGGGGTTTAATAATCGTTTACATTTAAACAACTATTAGGCTTAAAGTACATTATTACACAATCAAATAATAAATGACTATTAAAAGCAAATATTTTTGGGCATTTAATTTGTAAACAAATAAAAACAAGATTTTGCAAAAAATACAAATAACTATGCCAATAAACTTTTTTTCAAGTAACAATGAACAATGTACGTTAAGAAAAACCACGAAATCTATATGAAAAAAAAAATATTTTTTTCAAAAATTTACAAAAAACAAATTTACTTAAATGAATCTAAGTAAGTACAATATTTGTGTAATTTTTGTGTCCTTCTAGGAACTTATTTCAATTGCATTATGTTTATGGTGGCTTCATCAGTTGTGTCAACCATACTTATCCTCAATTATCATCATAGAAATCCAGATACGCATGAAATGAGTGAATGGGTAATACTTTTTCCTTTTTTTTTCTCTCTCTCTCTATCTCTCTAACTATCTAACAAGAAAACAAAAAACAATTACAAAAAAAATAAAAATCAAAAATATAACAAGAAAACAAAAATTTGAAAAATATCAAAACAAAGCTATATATTATATTTCTATATAGAAAAAAATAAACAATTTTAATTTTCTTATTCATTTTTTATATATACCAAAACATTTCTATTAAATAACCAAAACATACAATCACATATTTTTACACCCACACCCACATATTAACACACAAACAAACCAAATATATAAAACAAAAAATATACACTTAAATTTTAACAAAAAATATCAAAACCAAAAAAAAAAATACTTTGCTTTTAAATGAACAAAATGCTTAATTCTTAAAAAAATAATTAAAAAAAATATTACAAAAAATGGACGATTGCATGCCAAAACCTTAAAAAAGAAAAACAACAACAAAAGAATAATTTTTGTAAAATAAACACTTTATCATATTTATAAATATATTTCTTTTTTATTTCTCCATTTATAAAAAATATTATTATTTTTTTTTTAAATATTTTCTATAACATAAAACTTAACTACTATATACTTTTTTCTTAAACTTTTTTTAAAAAACAACAACTTACTTACTTTTGTGTAATATTACAACAACAAAATCTAATCAAATGGAAACGCCTTACCACCAAAAAAAAATTGACCCATTCTCAATTTGAACCACTTCAACACCTCTGAATTTAAAAAAAAAAAACTACTTCTTAACACCTCATCATGTCTGACAACAACAAAATAAAATAAAAAACTACAACAACAACTCTATTTCATACAACGGCTGATCTTCACATGAATCTTCTTTTACTTCTAAAACTTCTGTCCAAAAAAAAAACAATTAATTTAAAAAATTAATTAATTAAAACGATTTGTTTAAAATCTAAAAAAAAATTAAACAAAAACCATTTAAAAAAAATATACCACAACTACTCCACTACTCTTTCTCGGCCCACTGTGACCAAACAAAAAAAACAAAACAACCACCACCAACCACCAGATAAGAGTAATATTCCTTTATTGGTTACCTTGCATTTTGCGCATGCAAAGACCGGGACAGGTTGGCTATGAATGCCCACCGCCACCATCATCGTCGTCGACATCCTCCAACAATGGCGACAAGAAGCAACACATACAGAATGTTGAATTGAAGGAAAGGTAATTTTTGTACAAAAAAACAAACAAAAAGAACACACAAACAAACGAACAAACAAAAAATTGGTTTGGATGCCCAAGGGTAACTAAGACCTATCTATCCCCCCCAAGTTACACCTATTTTTCCCCCGAACCCCCAAATAATGCCAATATATGGCTATCCGTCCCCATAATTTATTGCTGACGAATACCAACCTAACCCAGACCACCTAAAACCCTCCCCACACCCCCCAACGGGTCAATATTTCAATTGATTTCATTTCATTTGTAATTTTTGTACAGATCTTCCAAGTCGTTGTTAGCCAATGTTTTGGATATCGATGATGACTTCCGTTGCAATCATCGCTGTGCCAGTGCCACATTGCCGCATCAGCCGACATATTATCGCACCATGTACAGGTAAGTCCAAAATAGTTCTAATAGCCGATGATGCTAAAGTGTCCATAACTTGAAAGTAATAAATGTTTTTCATTGTGCACACCTCCATTTTCAATATTTTCAGTGGATATTTAATTTTTAAAAAATAAAAATGTTTTATTTATTTTTATCGATGTATTAAAAACATGGCTAGTTGTTAATGTATGTGTATTACATTTATTATACGTATTGCTATATTTTATATAATGATTTTTTTTATTAATTAAGAATTTGTGTGTATTTTAACATGGGAATGAATTACATAAGACCGAACAAATGTAACACATCGAATATTTTGTTTGCCATTCCATATTATGCAAATGGGCTCTAGGAATCGAATTGCCAACTTAGTACGAGTTCTAGTATATAATATTGCTATTTTTGCCGTTCAAAACAAGTGCAAAAGTATCAGTCGGTGTTACCGACAGACATATATACCTTCACCCTATATTTTGCGGAGCATGTCGACCATTTGTGTGGAGATACCAGTGAGCCAATGGGTCCCATCTTCGGAGTTAAATATTGAAAATTTCGATCATTTGAGGGGAGATACCAGAAGGAGTGGACCAATTGGCCCCATCTTCAATCTTGACCTTGGTAAAGATAATACAAAATTTCGTAAAAATCGGATAGTCCGGATAGTGGGTACGAAAAGTACTTAATTTAGTACAATTTGAACTTTGGTTGAACGGATAGAGCTGAAAACCTGAATTTTGGAATTAAGATTGCTGTTGAGATTGAGTTATAGAGAAAGCAGTTTTTCAATGCAATGTTGTCTTCCACTTGGTCTTTCCATCTTCCATTCGTGGCCTTCCTTCTTTCGGAGAATTTTTCTCTCAAACACTCCAAGAGCTGCAATTTGTTGGCCAACCCAATCCTTCTCCGAATTTCTAAACTGATGTCATTAGTTTTATCTATGGCGGTACCAAGGTATATAAAATCTTTGACGACCTCGAAGCTGTAGTTCTCAAGTAGAGTTGGGCAATCTAGTTCACTTAGCGGATCGATCTTTCTCATTCCGTTTTTAAAAAGGAACTAGTTCGTTAATGTAGTTCCTTTGCACCTTATAGTTATTTTACTCCATACAGTTCCTTTGCTATTTATAGTTCCTTTGCTCCAAATAGTTCCTTTGATCCATATAGTTCCTTTACTCCATACAGTTCGTTTGCTCCAAATAGTTCCTTTGATCCATATAGTTTCTTTGCTCCATATAGTTCCTTTACTCAAATAGTTCCTTTGCTCCAAATAGTTCCTTTGCTCCAAATAGTTCCGACTCCTACATAGTTCCTTTGAATCTCTCTCTTTCATCGTTCTTTTTGTTTTTTTTTTCGCTCGCATAGTTCAGAAAAAAATGAACGAGAAAAAAAGGAAAGAAAAAAGAACGAGATCAAAAAAGGAACGATATCAGAAAAAGGAACTGTATTAATTAAAGAGCTAGAACTAGTTCCGATCGTTCCTTTCTCGGAATAGTCCCAATGAACTAGTTCGTTCCGGAACTACCCAACTCTGTTCTCAAGTTCCACAGTTGGTCCGGCACTTTTTTAGAGCTCTATATCTCAGTAATTCTTCAACTGATATAACAATTTTATGGCTGGTTATTGTCCTCTGATACCTAATTATAAAAACTAGTACTAAAATATATAATAAATTAGTATTATTTAAATATTATTCCAGTTTTGTAAAAAAAGGCAAAAGCAGAAATAGCTTCTACCCGCATTTCATGGGACACATGAGGCACCTACCGGCTTAGCCTGGTAATTGTCATTGCTATCAGTCTGGTTGGAATTCAGATCCTCCTCTGCGGACTACCCAACTTTATTCTCAAGTTCCACAGTTGGTCCGGCACTTTTTGTGGAGCTCTATATCTCATTAATTCTTCAACTGAATAAAAATTTTATGGCTGGTTATTGTCATCTGATACCTAATTATAAAAACTAGTATTGGATTTATAAATATTGAAAATTTGAACCCTCTATTAAGATGTGCAAAGTTTGTATGAAAACGATTATTCCCTTCGAGAGTTATTGTGCGCACAAGCCAGCCAGACAGACAGACGGACGGACATGTGTAAATCGACTCCAAATTTTCTGAAACGGATTTAGTCCAAAAAAACCAATATTTCGATGAGGCACATTTTCATATTTGGTAAACGTATTACGATTTGCATAGTTCGAACATTCTATTCTCTGACATTGAATTAACATATATTAAAATCTTTGTGGGTAAGGTACCAGAAAGAGTGGATCGATGGGTCTCATTTACGGACTTGATCTAGGAATGGTAAAAATATTACGATGTTTGGGCAAATTGGACATTCCATTCCCTTTTTATAGGATTTTTAATAATTTAAATTTTGCCCTTTTGTGGCGGAGGTACTAGACGCGTTCAAAAGTTATGAATAATCCCAAAAATTTCGATTTTTTTATTAACATGGCAACTCTTCACTTCAATTATTTCTGTATCATTTCTGGAAATTTGGCAGCACTGGTCAACACTTGACGTCAGCGCCATCTATTTGTTGGGTGAATCCAAACATCGATCATGGACGTCATTTATTTTACCTATAACTTTGTTTCGTACTGAAGATATTTAAATGAAAGTGGCATCACATAAATTCCACATTTTCTTGTGGAATAACATGATTTTTTAATTTTTGAATATAAAATTTAGTATTAAAGTTTTTATATAATTTTTCACGGTAATACTTGTGTTGTAAAAAACAAAGAGATTGTCATTGCGTTTTCATGTGATATCAGTTTTGTAAGACGAGATAATCGGTTCGAATATTCGAAAGTTGGGCTTGAAAACAGATATGCATAATTTAAATCATGATTTAAAGCATATTGTACTAATGTAAAAAAATGAATACAAAAAGAATACAAAAAAAATGAATCGCCAGATGGCGCTGACGACAACGAAACCATCGAAAACCATATTTACATTTTTATACCCTTCACCACACTGTGGAACAGGGTATTATGTCTTTGTGCATATGTTTGTAACAGGCAAAAGGAAACGAGATAGACCCTATTAGAATTGGAAAAACTCGGTTCAGATTTAGATATAGCTCCCATATATATTTTCGTCAGATTTAAGACATATGGTGTACCAAAGTCCCTATAAAACTTTCGATTTGCACGACATTTTGCACAGCGTACTGAATTAAGAGTATAATGATGTGTGTTACGTTTCGTGAAAATCGGTTCAGATTTAGATATATCTCACATATATATTTTTGTCCGATTTAATATAAAAAGTGCAACAAGGACCCTATATATTCTTCTATTTGCACAAAATTTGGCATAGCGTACTGAATTGTGTCTAGAATGATGTGTGCTAGGTTCGTAAAAATTGGTTCAGATTTAGGTATAGCCCTATATATATATTTCGTCCGATTTAATGTAAATGGTACACAAAAGTCCGAATATATTTTTCGATTTTGTGTGACTTGATTTACTTTCGTCAGCGGAATCTACTATGCAAAATTTAAACCTTATTTTTTTCCTATAATTTTTGAACTACTATAGATATTTAAATGACATTGTGATGCATTTAAACTTCCCAACCAACCACTGTTGGTCAATTCTGCCCGGTTCTGTTCAATTGCTATCTTCAGACGGTCCTGTTGTTGGCAGTAGAGATCAGAATTAAGCGTTTGGCCATATGGTAGCAACTCAGAATAATTAATCCCCTTCCAGTTCCACCAAATGCAGAGCAGAACCTTCCTGGCCGTTAGTCCTGATTTGGCTACCGTTTGAGATGCTTCGCCGCTCTTTGACCACGATCGTTTTGCACAGGGTTATCGTATGTGATCCATTTCTCATTTCTAGTCACCATCCGTTTAAGAAATGGCTATATCTCATTCCGTTTGGCCAAGGCTTCGCAGATGGATATTCGATCCATCCTATTTTTTCTGTTAATTGGTTTAAACCATTTACAGGTTTGTGTAAATGGTTTAAAACAATTTCATGGTCGATTTTTAGCTCCTGGGCGATGCTACGACTGCTAACATGCCGGTCAACTTCAACGATCATTTTATCGACATTTATACAATATAATTGGTATCCATTTAAAGGTAAACCACTCCTCTTGGATATACTATCAACTTCTCGGTCTATGTCCTTCAGTCCCACCAAATGCATAGCAGGGCTTTCCAGACCGTTAGTCCTGGTTTGACCACCGTTTGAGACGCATCACCGCTCTTTGACCACGATCGTTTCGCACAGGGTTATCGTATGTGATCCATTTCTCATCTCCACCATCCGTTTAATAAATGGGTCTATCTCATTCCGTTTGGCCAAGGCTTCGCCGATGAAAATTCGATCCATCCTATTTTTTCTATTAATTGGTGTGCCACCCAAACTTCGAGCTTCTTTTTGAATCCAGGTTTTTGTAAATGGTTTAAAACAATTTCATGGTCGATTTTTAGCTCCTGGGCGATGCTACGACTGCTAACATGCCGCTCAACTTCGATCATTTCTCCGATTTTATCGACATTTTCGACGTTCGTCTTAATAAATTTCTTTTACCCCAACCTAATATTACGATGTGCAAAGTTTGGTCATTCCATCCCCTAACATTGGACTTTTAAAGTTTTAAATTTCGGTTCGAATGTTCTATCAACAGATGGCGCTCACGACAGGTTTATGAAAATAACACAACTTATTTATTTTTGCCATAATTTTTTCGCAGTGAAGATATTAAAAACAAATTGATGTCATATGAAAACCAGTGAGCAGAGCAGTATAGTCGGACGTGGCCGATCATATGATACCCTACACAACTTTCATGAAAATCTAACTTTCTGTGGTTTTATATTCTGAGATTGGGCGATATTTGCACACTTTTGAATGTTACTAATAATCAGTACAGCTCCTCTAATTACTTGTCCATATTCCCTTCACCGTGGGTTTTGTTGTGAGGTTCGACTTTCGACTCGAAAAGTATAAATAATTAAGTTTTCGGCCAACATCATCCGAAAA